GCTCCCAAGGGAGGTGGTGCTCTCCCCTACCCTGGGGGTCTTCAAGAGGAGGTTAGATAGGCATCTAGCTGGGGTCATCTGAACCCAGAACTCTTTCCTTCCTATGCAGGGGGTCGGACTCGATGATCTATTGAGGTCCCTTCCGACCCTAACATCTATGAATCTGTGAGATAACAGTATAATTTGTTCAGGAAAATAGGGACCAGAAACAAATTTTGAACTTCCAAGAGCTCCATTAGGTTTAGATCCAAGGCTTGTTTTGACCATAAATGTATGCATGAAATCTCTGTGTTCATTTATGGCTGTTAGAGATTGAGAAATCATGTGAATTAGCATTAGGGAGCTGAATCTTTTCTGAGTCCATAGAGTCAGTTGGAGTCAGACACTTCAAGAGCTTCAGTTTGTTCGCTATAGCTCCTTTGACCAGTAATATTAGCGTAATGAAAGTAAAAGTTCCAAAATAAAATTTGACCCTAACAACAGATGTCTGATTTGGAGATTATCCTTATAATCAAATTTTATTTAAGGACATAATTCAAGCCCTATCTGAGGGTAGGAAGCCAGTCTCCTATGGTTATGTTAACACACAACCATGTGTTAACATTGTAATTGTGTGTTGGGAAAGAAATCCATTCAAAGCCTAGAACAGGACCCTAAATTTGATCCACTACATGAATAGTTATATTGCTAAATTCTAGGTAATAATGCTCAGCTGATTTATACATTGGCAAAGGGACAATATGGCATTAGCTAACAAGGAAGCAAAACTTTGTCATTCTACAGTGAATGAGAACATGACACTGTAACAGAGGCAAGAATTTTTGTGGTATCTTATTGAACCAACTATATATTTGGGAGAGTTGTTGGATTAGCTTTTGCCCTTATACTGCCCTTCTGTTTTATAAGGACTCCTGCTAACACCTCTTCTCACCTAATTCATGACACTCCTTTATCCCTCCAAGCAGATTGTTTTAATTTGTGGAGTTGCCTCCCTGCCATTTAGGTCAGCTAGTGGTTGGCTCTTTTTTTTCAGGTAAAAAAACCACATCCAACAGCCTTCCCAACTATGTAGTTGGTCCAGTAAAAGATGTCACAGAAAATCCCTTTTTCTCCTACATTCTCTAGGCCATCATGGCTACAACACCACTGGGACCCTGCTACTGTGATAAAGTCCATTTATATCCTAAAGGCTGTTGTAATCAGAAGGGTTAGAGTTACAATCTTTATTTCTATATGAAAGCTCTAGGACTTGATTTTCTTCTTGCTTATACTGTTGTTATGTTCAATTTATAATGGTAAGCGTCAAAACTAGACCCCTGCAAATGACGTAGGAATATTACATTCCTTAAACTGACACATTCTTCATGCCCATGAATTACTGTTGCACCTATTTGGATTCCCTTTGATTTCAGGTACCATTTCACACACCCTGGAGCCATTCTGGTCTTGTAGAGTGGATAAAGATAAAAACAGAACATGACAGAACAGTCTGGGTCATTGTAACATCCTAATCCTTGAAGGCTTGCTTTAGATATCTTTAAATTTGCATGATAGAAACCCAGCTGAGCATAAATTAATCTGCTTTATGTGCAGGATCTTTTAAGTGATGATATAAACAAAATAGCAAGCTTGAAATACTCTGAGGTCAAAGCAAAGCTTGGAAATACAGTAAGAAAGAAAAGACTGGTGTTTCTGTTGGGCAGCAAGAATAATTTTTCACATGTAAAATAATTGGTATATTTTCTCTGCACATATATGAAAAGAGGCAGTGGAGATCTATTGTATCCTGTTTTGAGTCTGCCTTGGATTGAAATATAACTCTATGGAATTTGAATAGCCATTTCCTTTGGGTATGATATTCTACACTTGTCTCAAAGCTGTTAGATTATAGTTGTATGCTACTACACTGTTCTACCCAAGCGGTGTCTGCATTTCAGCACTCATTACATAGAGCCCACAAAACTCTTTACAATCCTTGAGCCTGAAAAGTAGCAACCAAATAAATATAATGTGAATAACACTCATGTATGTTCTTTGCCTTTAAAGGTCTGAACACTTTGGAATCCCCAACAAATAGTCCTCTTCCTTCTGATCACTCTGCTTGGAATCTCACCTGGGTCATGAAAGACTCTTCCCCTTTCTCCCGTCACAGAGGGCAACACAGTAAGTCAGTTTATGCTCTGTTCAAAACAAATGCCTAACGGTATGTTTTTAGTCTATATATTTCAGAATAATAGAGATCAAACCATTCATGCTATAGTACCTATGATCTGAATTCTACAACCAGAGAAGTTCTGCCATGGCTCAAGGGTTCATGTTAACAGGTCAAGTTTAGTAGGTCACAGTCAAAACTCACCTCTTATTTATTGTTATAGGCTGTCAGCAGCCAATACAACTTGTGTGTTAGATTACTAATGCCTCAGGATTTTGGTAGTGTGTCTGGAACCAAAAATGTGTTTGACTCATTATTGAGACAAAGTTCATTTACAACATTTGGATTTGTTGCACTACTCTTTATTGAACTGGGGTACAGTTTTGATGTGGGATTCTGGTTCCAGCTGTTCTTTGACTTGACTTAATTACTGATAACACAAAACCAGTTGTACTATTCACCATCAGCAATAAAATATTGCTCTGATTGGAACAGAACGGGATAAGGCTATGCCAAACACAGCATTCAGAAAAGGGACTGAAGGAAGATATTATCCAGTACCAGTATCTTATGAGTAGAGAGAGTGGAGATAAGGTGATGAGAGACTAATAAGATTTACTCACCCCAAGCCTGTAATTATCTGCTTGAGGGAAAAGTTTGACCTACCTACAAGAGGGAATTCCATATTTCTTCAAATTTATGTTGCAGCCTGTTATGTTGTGCAATATATATTCTTTTCACTGGCATACAATATCTACTCTTAGCTGTTGCATCTGCTTGAACGATGAGGACACACCAATTTCATCCAAGAAGGGACAGTAGCATAATTTTCCCCCTTGGCTTTCTCAGAGACTGCAAGGATGATTTTTCATTTATCCTTTATTACTTCATAACCTCTTTAAATTTCTCAGAGATACCATTCCAAGGGAAGAAATTGTTCTTAAACCCCCCACCCCCCAAAAACTAAAAACATGTGGAGTGGTTCCATCTGACAGCATCATATGGAGATAAATGTACCATATCTAAGTTTAAATGATTTATTATGGCTTTTGGCTGATTACTGGACTGGCAGGACAAAGTTCTATCAAAGCTGAACCCACCATTCTGCAACAAAAGGTAGGAAATCAATTATACAGGCCTACTCAATGGTCCAGAATTGGCTGAGAGCAATTCTTTGTATCATGTTTTATATTTAAAAGGTCTATGTGAGCAATAACTGCTTTAGTTATGCTCTTTTGAAGATGGAATCAGGGCTAGGTATTTCTTCTTTAGGATATGAGGCTGAAGAGTGTGTGGGATCTTGAAGATGAGCAGGTGGGTCTTTTCATCACCCATAAACCTCAAGGATTTCAGGTCTCTTGGTGGGTCTAGTTTGGCAATGGCCCCCAGAGACATCAGCCCAGAACACCCTGAGTGCAATGTGTTCTGATTATGCTCTTGCCTCCTTGACGGATATGCTGCTGGGGACTTATGTTAGCTTGTGAGGTGAAGCCATGCCTCTACCCCATGTTATACAAGGAATAACTGCATGTAAGAGAGCTTTCCACATGAGACTGTTTACTAGTGTAAATGAAATAGGCCCCTTTCTTAATGTTCCTCCCCCTGTCTAGAGACTTGGGTATGGTTCCTTTACCAAAGCCAGATCTCTGTATTTTGTATTATGACATCTCTATATAGATCAAGGGCACAGACAGAAGTGACAATTTTCAATTTTCTGGCCACAGAAAGCAGTTTACAGCCATGACCAAACACAAGTGTGTGGCTGCAGACAGCTTGAAAATGGCTGATTGAGTGAAAATATGACTTCTCATTGCATGAGGGGTCAGATGAAGACATTTCGAAACAGATGGTCTTCTTCTGTAACTTGTCTGCACTGGTCTGCCAGCCTCGAGCTGGTTTCATAATGGGAGGGGGAAGGGAGTGGGAGGAGTTAAATTTGAGGGTTTTTCAGCCCCTGATGGAGGGTGGGGTGGGTGTATTGGAGCTCCCCTGAGGTGGGGGGCTCCAATTTACCCACCCCACCCTCCAGCACTGGCTGGGGAACCCCTAGAGTGAGCTCCCTCTGTTCCCTTTACCCCCTCCCATTCTTAAATAGGGACAGGCTGGGAGGGAGAAGGGGCCATTGCAAGGGGAAACTAGCTGCAGCCACCACCTAGATTCCCCTCCTCCTGGAACTAACAGTGAACTTCTGTTTGGTCTGGGGGATCATTGCAACTCAGGACACTTCCTGCAAAGCCTTCTCAGTTCCAGTGCGGAGTTTAACTTTTGTCTGCACCCCAAGAGCCCCAGGTCCCGCAGGAAGTCAGTATTAAAGATGACACCACAACTCAAACTCTTCACTTGTCCACAGGGCTAAGTGTCACTGAGACCCTGATATGAAGTGTTTTTGTGGGTACTTATGGAGCTCTTCTGCTTCCTAGGTCTGTGTCCTCCTGAAGTTACCCCCCCTCTAACCCTGACATGAACCCTCCCCAACCTTAGTATGCTGCTGCCATGTGGCAGGTTGTTACTCCTTTAGCCAGGTCCAGGAACCAGCCTTCCTCCTTTCCTACCACAAACTAAACAGAATAACCAGAACATCCACAAAACTTCCTCTGGCCTCTTCTATCCAAGGCAAGGGCTTTACCGCAGTACTTCAGTGGTACTTTTCTTCTCATCTTCCCAGTGCCATCTCTTTGGGAGGTTTTAGCTTCCTCCAGGACTAGGCAGTCATCCCTGTCAGCTGGCCCAGCACTCCTAGGCAGTCAAGCTATTACACCTTCTAACTTCCTGCAGGTGGGCTTCAGCCCTGAGCCCTGCACTTTGTTACATGCCCCTTTGTGATTCCTTTTGATTACTTGTTGCTCAGGGTGGGTTTGTATTACCATTCTTAATTTGTTAAGACAGAGCATTTAAAAATGAATAAAGCAGTAATAATTTAGTTCTAGGATTTCAATGCCCTTCAAATAATTCTTTCCTCACTTCTGTGATAGGGGCACATCCATTTGCAAGTATGGAGTGGAAAATGAAAGACTGAGTATTTACAGTCTCTAAGGTACTGAAGCATCCTAGTACCTCTCAATCTTTAATGTATTTACACTTGCAATATCCTTTGGAGGTTTGAGTCCCTTCAGGTTGACAAAGGAATTTTAATCTGGGTCTCCCACAGCCTGGGTGAGTTCTCTAACCACTGAACTAAGTGCCCTCCCCTTCCCCATGTCTCCTCTTCTCCAGGTGTGATTTGGAATGAAATTGGCTCTGGAATGCTACTCCTTGTACAAAGCTTACTCTGGTGAGTGTACAAGAAACATGCTTTGAGCATATGCACTACACTGAGCCTCTCGTGGAGGAAAGGTAGGAGAATGCCTAGTCTGAGGATCTCAGTCCTATTTCAGTATATGAGAAACACCAAGCTTCTTGGCCCTGGCAAGATGGAAGCAGTTTGGGGCAAGCACAGAAACAGAACTTGTGGCAGAGCAGGGAAGGGAAATTGAACCCAAGTCCCCTGAGTCCCAGGCTAATAACCTGACCACTAACCTATCCTTCCTCTTTCAGTAAGTGATTTTTACCAAATTCCAACAATAAATCACTAGCAAAGAAATAAAACCCAAGTCATTGACTGGAGCTCTGTACCCTCCTTTCTTTAAAGAAACTCTCATCACTACTTGAAGCATTGTACTGTGATTAAGAACACTGAGTGCTTAATAAAACTTCTATTAAACTTTGTTTGTCTAATTGTCTGATGGGACCCCTCAAATCAAGTGACTAGCTGAAGCAAGAAAACATTAGTCATCTTAACTACCTGTTTTGAATGTTCCAATTCCTTTGAAAAGCTGAGTAAATTTACATTTTTACCAAAAAAAAATTGCTAAACTAAGAATAAAGCAGAGCAAAAAAGCTTCAAAAAACCCAAAACACTAGGGCTAATCCAACAGTAGTTCTGTTAAGTACAATATTGGATCATATTTCTAAAATTACATGCATACGTGCATAAAAGCAGCCATTGGCCCAGCCTACTGGAGAAGACGCTTTGGAGTAAAACATTTATGATGCTCTTCAACATGCATTTTGGTAATGGTAGCAGTTTTCCACATCTACTTCTGTACCTCCAGCATTCACTTTAACATCCTGGAGATGCAAAACTTCATCTACCCTGTAAAGAAAGGAGTGTTTATATTTTTGTTTAACAAGAACCCAAGAATATATAATTGAATTTACCGAGTGGAGAGTTCATTTGTATCTCTGGATTTTAGGTTTTTCTTTTATTCTTTCTCCTTGTTAAGAAGTGCTCACTCCATCACACATGGCAAGGACTAGGGAGGTTTGGGGCCAGCAAGCTGCTAAAGCATTCCTCATATGTTGGCTCACTATAGGATATTAAGCTTCCATGTGCCACACTGATGGAACCTCTATCTTGAGGCTTACATGATTAAGGGTACCCAACCACATATTTTATTTCTTGTCCTGGTTGGCTGAATATTAACCTGCTCTTTCTCAGAAGTATTGTAGGAGAAAGCATTTGACACCTCATAGAGGCCATTAGTGCCTCTGGGGCAGAGCATGCAGACCACAGCACCCCCTGACAGCCTTAAAGCCTTGATGGGTATTTTTGAAAGTGTTCTTCACTGAACCATGCAACAACTCTGGGCCATGGGATAAATCCTAGCCAGCTTTCAGAAATGGTGGAAGGAACTTTTAACAAATGGAAAGTAATTGCATACAGCTAAGCCTGTTTAAACTCTGTCTTAAATAATTGTGCACGTTTCACAAGAGAAACAAGCAAATACAAGTAGCTGTCTAGGAGGCTTTGGGGAATGCCTTGTGCTTTTTTTGAGTATTGCTCATTTAACTTCATGGAAGGATTCATACCTTAATGCAAAAAAATTGGACCAAATGAATGTCAATCTGAATTAACTATGACTATAACAAAATCCTTGCTGGAAAGGGTGGTTTTATATTTACCTTAGAATCATAGAAAATTAGGATTTGGAAGGGACCTCAGGAGGTTATCTAGTCTAACCCCCTGCTCAAA